GCACAGCTACTCGGAGACTCGGTAGTTGTGACCCCCGTTTGTCAGCTCCGAGTGAGGACAAGAGTGAGAGATCTTGATTAGAGGGCGGTGTCGCCGCAGCCGGACGAGATGGTGGCGGCGGCGACGTCGGCGTCGGCGTGGGCGGCGGCGGCGTGGGCGGCGTCGGTGAGAGGGTGGTGGGGAGGCGGGGTCGGAGGACGGCGGACGGCGGACGGCGGCGTCGAGGGCGGTGGTGGGGAGGGCGGCGGCGGCGGCGGCGGCGGCGGCGAAGGCGGCGGTGAGGGCGGCGGTGGACGAGGTGGAGGGTAAAGGCGGAGGACTCTCACCCTCTGGCATCCAGCCGACGCCGGACAGCACGGCAAGCACGCCCGCGTTCGCAGCCGTGTCGCCAAAGCGCGAGAGCGGCGCCTGGAGCAGCGCGGCCTGCCAGCCCTGGTAGAGCCGCGCGAGCCCGCCCATCGCGTACAGCGCCGAGATCGCCTCCATCGTCGACAGGCCGTTGGCGTGCTGGTAGTTCATCGTCGTGCGCATCCACATCAGCAGCCCGACCTGCGCCACCATGGCGAGAGCGCCTGCCAGCGAGCCGGCGAGGTGAGGGCGGCGCGCCGCGGCACACGCGCAGGACGCAGCAGAGCGGGCGGACGCGCAGCCAGCATGACGTGTGCTTGGGAGGAGCACACCGGCGAGGCCGCCGCCAAGCGCTTTCTTGCCGGCGCGCTTGAGCACGGCAGACAGAGGCTCCACTTCAGCTTGCCTGCGCGAGTGGCACCGGCATGAGTGAGAGCAGTGCGGCGCGCGTGGACGCGCGGCGGAGGAGGATACGGCTCACTTGCCCATGGGCACAGGGGATCGAGAGCAGCGATTCTGGTGCCGAGGGATCGAGCGAGGTTACCAGATGAACCTGGAGTTTTTCTTTTTTAACTTACCACTAGAGTGAGGCCCTTGACGGGCCCCGCCCCCAATGGGGCGGGGTTGAATGGGCTAGCGCTGGCGTGGCGTTGACATGAGCACAAAGTTGCTAATGTGCGTGGACGAACAAACACAGAGTAGGGTTGAAATCGTCCACGTAAGGCTTAGGGAGTGCTTGGGGTGGCCTCAGGCATCCCCAAGGGAGTCGCAGCGGTGCCCCATAAGCAGCTTAGCGATTGTCGAACCTCGAAGCGCGTTCGTTTGAAGAAAGGCACACGGTACCGGGCCACCGGAGAGTCACCGGTAAACTTCGACACTTTGAGGGGTGAGAGCATGCATTATTGTGGCATATCATGTCACATAAGGTCGAGCTTGACCGCAGAAGCATCAAGAAGCGGATACTCCAGCTCGACTGTGCCGGCAAACTGCCTCCTCACGCCGGCCGGCTGCCAGCAGCCGTCGCGGCCCGTGGCGTGCTCCAGAGAGGGAGAGAGGTCGAGTCCGCATGGCTCAGGCCGGCCAGAAGGTGTGTGGCGACGGCACCGTGGCAGGAGTGCGGAGAAGAGCTCGCCGAACGCGAGCAGCGGAAGGCCGAAGTGTGCCAGCGCGAGAGCCTCGCGAACGGGTGCAGAAGGAGCTCGCCGTGACACGATGCCGGGCGGTGGTGGTGCTCTGGCGGCTGTGCACAGTGGGAAAGGTCAGGCTGCAACAGCGTAGCACGATGGTAGTGCCCCGCTGCAGCCTGGCCTGACATGCACAGGGCGAACAGAGACCTTGCTATCGCCTGGCGCTCGTCTGGGCAAACTTTGACCGCCGCCCGGCTCGCCACGAGCACGCAGCG